AAATAATTATTTCATTTTCTGTTCCTCACTTCTGATGACCTTCAATGATGTCAGTTTGTTGCAACAGCAGGTACAAAAACTAACTTGTTTTTATTTGACTATTTTTCTGTCCTGTCTGTTTATTATCTTCCTGCATCTCCTCTCAATCCTAAAGAAAAACTGCTACCTGGGTTCATATATATTCACCTCATGAGTTACCTTTGAACTGCAGTTCTAAAAGATCTACCGACCGCAAAAACAGCGGAGCGCTTGCTGTTTGGCGGCTGTATCAGTGATCAGTGCGTCGGAGGACAAGGTGATGCGCCCCGCTCCACAGCAGCGAAACACATCAGGCGCAAATAAAAGACAGAAAATATTAAAGGAAATGAACCGACATGAACGATCGCCTGTCAGTACCTACGGTCTGGCACTTGAGTTTTACCCCCAAAAAGAGAATGTGATCATACGATAATTCAATAGGGAGCATGGTTTCACAGAGTCGGAAGTGATAGCGTCGGTGAAACGCCGGCTGCTCTAGGAAACCCCCGAGCGTTCGAGCGTCAACGAAGTGACACGGAAATGCCGGGCTTTCCAGAAGTAAGTAAGATAACTTACTATGAGCTGATAGTTCGTTGGATTGATCGGTAGGTTGGCAACTCTGATCGTGAATCTGAAGAAACGATGACTGAGTGTTGAGCTGGAAAGGCAACTTCCGTTTATAGCCGCGGTTTGTGACGTAGGTGCGACGTGAAGGGAATCCTCGCGAGGGGCATGCTGGGAGTCCCTACTTCGCGGATTTTCACCTATCGTGGCCAGGTCTGGAACACATCTACCGCGATAAACGAGGGATTACTGTAGTTCATACACCCCCTACTGCTGCTCTCCAGAGTGTTCTGCAGCATAATCAGCACGTTCTCTTTGAACTTGATAGTGTAATGACCTGGCTGGGGTTGTAAGCCAGGTGCATTCTGGGTATTGTGTTATATGTGTTTCCTATCGTTCTGCTAGTTCCTATGTGCTGATTTGCGTGTTGTGTGAGTGTTATGTAAGCCACAGGGAAGGTGATGTGTGTTCTGTGGAGCGGGTTGAATTAGCATGGTTAACTGACACCGTGACTCTGTGTGGTAGGAGCGTGATAGAGGATCGTGTCTGTAGCGTTACAAAGCGTTGAAGAAAAAGCCTTAAAAAGGCCTGCGTGAACTTCTACTGCCTCCTGCTGGTTGATTTGGGGACTATAACCCTGCCGCTGGGACGCTCGTACTTGCTTGTTACCACATTCCATCCGGCCACAATAAGAGACCGGCCATTATTTACCTCCACTGACGCCGACACCGGCCAGAATTGGAGACCCGGCCTTTAATTGAATACCGGCCTGTATTAGAGGATTTACGGTAATCCAAGTCACGAGAGAAAAAACACGAGAGGACAAGAGCAGAGATAAGCGAGGGCTGGAGACTACCAGTCAGTAGTTAATCATCCGGCGTCAAGTCTTCTTCTTCTGTTTTATTGGCGGTTGGCAAACAACGAATGGTGCATTACCGCCACCAACTAGTGTGGAGTGTGGTCTGGAACAGCGCTCACAAAACAAAACCAACGGCGTCGAGTCATGTACACCTTCCTCCTTATAAACCGGCCGCTGATCAGCTGATTGCAAACAGCTGTTGCTCCCTCTCCTGAAACCAAAACACTCAGAGATAGTGAGATGATGAGATGAGTACTCACCCCGGCTCATGACAATTACACACTACAGCTAAACAATTGAAAACACAATGCTCAATTTGTGAAAAGGTTCTTTGTTTCATAACTGCCAATTTGCCAATTTTTAGAAACTTTACAGTTACGTATCTTCTTAGATCTCTGCAGAGGATTAGGCCTTTAGATGTGTGAGTTTCATATGAAGAGTATAAATCTATAGAACATTCTGCATGTACACTACTGTAACACAACTCAATGCAAAAACAGAATCTATTGCACACAACAGTGCTCTTCAAAACACGAGCAAGGTGTGAATTTTTTTTTTTAACTTTATTCACAACACTTACACCACAATCACTGCGCGGCATCATGTCACTGAGCTGCATCGGGCCACATCACCTCATTGCAGGCTGTATTGTCTCTTGCCAGGTACCGGCACTGCGGGGAAAACGCCCTGGAATGGCGAATCCATCCTTGTAAGGCCTACACTGGGATGTCACCACAGGCCAGCTCCATTGCCCTTAGGAGGTTCTCTCTAGTGTATGGTTGTCTGTCATAAACCTTCCATCTCCACAATGAGAAGAACTCCTCTATAGGGTTCAGGAAAGGGTAGTAGGGTAGCAGACAGACGTTTAAAAAGTGGTTACTGTTGGTGGTGAACCACTCTGATTTGGTTTGTTCCGTGGAAGCGGACATTGTCCCAAATGATCACATAGATGTGATGTGTGGGCCCAGGATGGTGTTGTTGGCGGTTCAGGAGGATGTCTTTTAGCTCCTCTAGGAAGGTGAGGAGATGTTGGGTGTTGTAAGACCCAAGGACAGCATGCCGGTGGACAAGCCCCTCCAAACCCATGGCCGCACAAAGAGTAATATTACCCCCCGTTGGCCAGAAACCTTAGTGATGGCTCTTTGGCCAATGATGTTACGGCCTCTTTGCCTTCGTTTCTGCAGGTTGAAGCCAGCTTCATCCAGGAAGAGGTACTCATGAGGTCTGGCCATCATGTCCAACTGTAATATCCTCTGTGAAAATGTGAAAGTGCACAGGTGTTCAGAACAACAGTCAATCAGGTAGCACAGTATTGTCCAAAACTAATGTAGGCCACTGAGCAACACAGTATATCCACCAACTGTACTGTGAACATGGATACTTACTTGCACATACTCTTAACGTAGGTCTTTGTGTCGCGCAGAGTTGCGCTCAAAGGGAACCCTATAGACCTGTTCATCTGCATCTTTTGGCGCTGGAGAACTCGGTCTATTATGGCCAAGCTGACATCATCAATGCTCTCAAAGTTGACATTATCGGCAATGACTTTGTCTCTGATCTCCCGGAGTCTGATGAGGTTGTTCTCACGAACCCTATCTGCAATGATGGTTTCTTGTGCCGCTGTAAATATGGCAACCCTCCCACCTCTATGTGGCATTCTGTCAACTCTAAAGAAAGAAACATGTGTTGTCAATTGACATGTTTTACAACAACAGCTGATTTGATACCAATGTACTACTTTCACAGGCTTGTAAAACTGCATTGTGACAAAGAAAGCAATAGAGTACAATACCTGTTGTGTTGTCTGAATGCCCTGATAATGGTGGCCACGGTGAACCTACTCAGGTTTGGACGGACTCTTACTCCTGCTTCAGTCATTGTCATGCCATGGACAATGACATGGTCAATGACTGTTGCTCGCATCTCTTCCGTAATGATGGTGCGAGGTTGTCTTGCTCTCCCTCCTGGACCTTCTCCTCTCCCTTGTTGGCTTCCTCCTCCGATTTGAACTCCTCTTCCTCGTTGGCCTGCTCCTCTTCTTCCATGGCCAGCTCTTCATCCATTGTGTTTGTTTGGAATCTTCAGCAAACTGCACTCTGAACTTGCTTTTATTCATGTGGTCACAGCATTAGCAACAAGTGTCTTCAATTTTGAGTTGTTTTGTGTAATGAATGACGACAGGTGTGTTCATTGTGTTCAGTTAGTGCTGACTGTGGCAAGCATTTGGCATCACATGAGCTTTCATTTGAGAATATGAGTAGAGTTCTTTTGCAACTTGTGTTTTAGCAAGGAAAAATGTGTTTAGGTTTATGAGAACGGAGGATTGTGTTTTGTGAATTGTGTCTTCATGTGAAATGTGTTTATGATGTTGGAAAATGATGGCTAGATTTAGTAAATGTGTTTAGACAACTGGTCATTTGGTTTCGAGGATTGGCTTTTGTGTTTTAGCATTTGAGAAAAAAACTGTAATAATCAATGGGTTTATGTTTATATCTACCAGCCTCTAGAGGGCACAGTTACGCTAAAAAGTTTCACTCAGCAAGGTGAGGCTGGGACTGTGTAAAATGGCAGACTTGACAAGTCAAGCAGCTGATTCTGACCCCACAATATGTTCTAACAATAAATACTGTTGTAAAATAAACGTAGTAGAAATCTGTCTTTATCCTGTAAGATTTGTCACTGAACATGGTGCAGGAACGTGTCAGCAGTGAACCGATGTACTCACTTGTATGGATGTCAGTCAATGGGACAGTCCTCCATCAACTATTGAAAAAGATGCAAATACATCATTTTTCTAAATAAAGGACTTAAGTACCTCTATCTGCTCTCGACTCAAAGAAAGCCCAGGTCTAATTAGTTCAAAGATGGTGCCAAAGCTGTTTCAAACATGCCGTTGCCGTCAGATAGAGTGCTGTGATTGGACTGGCACCAGACTGACCAGGGCTGTGGAGGTTCCAAGTGAGCGTGGCTAGACCTATGCAGATAAAAATGGTTTTGCTTCCACAAAAGACGGTCTAGATTTCTAGGCGGGCAGCATGTTGGATTTGTAGGAAACCTTGGAGCTTAACGTTAATCACAAGGCTTTTTGAAGGACCCAAAAAAGGCAGCTAAATTGATTTGGGTTGCGTTTGAAAGTCACCTCCCATGCACCTTGTGTTTTAGAAAGAAGACATGTCAAAATTGTACATTTTACAATGTTTCAAATGTATTAACTATGTAGCACGTTGAAAAACATGACATTTACCAAAGTGCTTCATTGATGTCTGCTTTGTAAAAGTATATTTGATAGCTTCTCCACAGCCTAACACAGAGGAGTGCCAGGTGGCACAATTATTGCCTGCTGGATCAATTACAAATGGTCAGAGACAACCTCCGTTTCACCTTATTATAGAACAAAAGAAACTAGAAGTAAAGCATATGTTTTTGTCTACAGAAATCAATTACCTAAAACCTTTTCAGTGTAATGAGAAATAACGCTCTGGTTTTCAAAGACAGGATTGATTAATCTCTTGTCTCTTTCTCTCTCTCTCCTGTCCTCTCCCCTTCCTTCTCTCCTCAGGTTTAACTAACGCTGACGCTGTGGTTAATATGCGGAAGGTGACTCATCGGACCATTAGTGAAGAGCTCTCTAAAACGGTTCTCCTCCCTTGCCTCTTCACCCTCCGTCCCAGTGCCGGTTCTCCCCACGAACATCCCAGGATCAAGTGGACCAAGGTTTGGGGCCAAAGAGGCTCAGACGGCCTACAGAAGGAACAGTCGGTGCTAGTGGCCAAAGACAACGTGGTCAAGGTATGATGGGTTCCAACGTATAACGATTCAGTTCATTGTGTCGTAGCTATCTGCTAATGTTTCCTGATGTTTTACAGGTGAAGAAGGCCTTCCAAGGTCGTGTAGCACTGCCTGGTTACAATAAGGACCGTTACAACGCCAGTCTCGCTTTGACTGGGTTACGCTCAAGTGACTCTGGTCTGTACCGCTGTGAGGTGGTGGTGGGCATCAATGACGAGCAGGACACAGTTCCACTGGAGGTCACAGGTAAATAACACGTAGACCCAACCCTCGCCAATGAAACCCAGATACATAAAGCTGCAGTTCAACTTTTAAACTTTATTAGAAAAATGGAGTTTAACAGTCAAAGCAGTCAGTGATTATGAAGCTATTTGAAAAGTTTTCATTTGACAGGAACTGATTATAAGAAGAACTTTCGTAGAAATGAATGCTGTTTGAATTTCCATGGCACTTCTGTCCAAAGTCATTTACTAATGTCCACTTGTTAAAACTATGTTGTGTGTTGACTCTAACATGAGCTGACCACAGAAATGAATTTAGATCATCAACAAACACATGTGAGAAGGCACTGAGTGTGCACTCCTCCCTATTTTCCTTAATAATAAACCTGCATACAAAGTACATTTACCAGAGAGCCACATAGCAAATATCATAAATCCTCAAATGAAGGTGGAGGCTTTTATTTACTTCACCTATTTCAGTTGCAGACCTTGTAGTAAGAGGTAGACATTTATTCAATAAAGAACGTTTAGGTTTGATGCCTCCTGGAACAGTGCACAAACAAAACAAACAACACCTGCATTATTTATTTGTATAGAAGCTCTTTACTTGTATTGGAATTAAACTAATATCTGCTAGATTTGCTAAATATTGCTTTCCAGTGTTGATTACTTTGCAGCACAGCGTAATCTATTTTCCACAAATGTTAAAAAAATCATTAAGGTTTTATCATTGGGCCAAAAGGCATTAATCTGAAGCAAGTATGTTACTTTTGATGCAGCTTGTCCTTTTTTCAGCGAGAGAAAGTGACAAATTTACAACAACTGTTATTTTTAGATGATGTAGTTATCCATTAATGGTATTGGCTGTATTTGATAAAGCACCTTCTAGAGTCCTAGAAGTTCTCAAGGTGCTTTATAACATGATCAGTCATTCACACTTTCACACAAACAGTAACGTTGGTGCGACGGTGGAACAAGAGTTAAGTGCTTGTCCCATAATCAGAGGGTTGCAGGTTCCAGTCCCGCTCAGTCTGTCACTGTGTTCTTGAGCAAGACACTTAAACCACCTTATCTGCTGGTCGTGTTCGCAGGGACCGGTGACGCCTGTGTACGGCAGACTCACGCCTGTGTCAGTGCGCCCCAGGGCAGCTGTGGCTACATCATAGCTCATCACCACCAGGGTGTGAGTGGGTGTGAGTGTGTGAATGGGTGAATGACTGATTGTGTTGTAAAGCACCTTGAGGGGTTCCAGGACTCTAGAAGATGCTATATCAAATACAGGCCATTTACCGTTTACCATTTACCATGGTAACAACACAGCTGCCTTGGAAAACACTGACGGAGGTTAGGCTGCTGTATGCTTGTGCCACCGGTTCCTCCGACCAAGGCCGCCCTAACCGGACCAACCGGGTCTGTGGCCAGGGGCCTATGAGGTTTAGGGGCTTATCATTTCAGGCTAAACAAAAGAAAAAACTATTTGATTATTTGTCAGGTTTTCAGTCAATCATCTTTGATGCTCATTTAAGGCTGCTGTTTGATCCAAATTAAAAGTGACCTACCCCCCCCCCCCCCCCCCCCCCACGTGACCTCTGGACCATGAGCTGACCAATCAAACAATTTAAGGAAACTTGAAACAAATAGGTCAGTAGAGTAGGAGGTGCTCTCGATAACTGTTTTTGTCAGATAAAAAATTGATAAAGTGAATAAAATGTTGTGAATTCCACATTACATGCCTCGGGGACTCTAAGGGCTACTGCAGCAGAAGCTCAGGCTTCAGGTGGGACACCAAGTAGGACAGGTCTTAGGGTCATAATATAGAATAATAACACATTTTATTCATCGAATGCTTTTCTGAACACTCAAAGATGCTGTAAAAATCCAGATAAAACAAGCAGCGTATGCAATAATGAAAAGTAGACTTTAAAACTGCTTTGAATTGAGTCTTGAGAAGAGTTGTCATGGTGGAGAGGTCAGAGCAGTTGTAGAGGGGCTGTAGGAGTGAGTTCCAGAGGGTGAGGGCAGCAATGGAGAAAGCTGTGCCCCCCCCCCCCCCAAGTTCAGAGCTTGATCACAGGTGGGGCACCTCCTCCACCAGTGCACACATATTTCCCCCCGTGGGGGACCTACTGAGCCTCTCTGCCCTGGAGCCCTGCCTCCGACCACTATCAACACAACAACAGTGATGATATCAGTCCTATCAGAAACAAAACAAAAGAGCAGATGGGATTTTTTTATGAGTCAAAAATTTATTCCAACATAAATGTTCTAATGTGTCAGTGGCAGTGTGTAGTTTCCTGGAGCTAGGGGGTGTCGGTACAAGATCTGCTCGGGTGCAAAATCGGCTCGGGGTCCTTCGACTGCCGATGACGTGAAAGTACGGCAAACCCACTCGAACAAAATACACTACACATCTATACTGTTGGAAAGAATTTAGCAGTTTCGTTATTAAAATAATGTTTATTAAGACGTAAGTTTGTGTTTATAATGGTATTTGTAAAATAAAACACTATATTTTATTCATAATATTGAACTCCTCTTTGAGCACATCCCTTGAAGAATCATAGATATTAGCAACACCTGTGAAATTGTATTTGCAGGAAAGAAGTGTGTCCCGTTTATTGAAGTATTTTGTGTTTAGTTTTTGACGTCTTGTCTTTCTGGCTTTACTAAAATACCTGCCTGTATTTATTTGATTGATGGTAGTTTTACTTTCTATTAGACTCCAAATGTAATCATTTGGCACGTTTCTAATTCATAATTTGTAATAATGTAATCGGTGATATTAGCATTAGCATTCCTATGGGGTTTTTCCATGCATATTAGCATTGCGCTAACCACTTGCTGCCAAATTGCAGCCTTTGCGATTAGAAAATCTCCTTTTGTCACATTACAATTTAATTGCACATGCAGTTAATCGTTCAGCCCTAATATACATGCAGCTCTATGCTAAAAGTGTATTTTCAAAGAGGTAATGATGGATTTCTTTGTAAAAGTTGTCCATCTTTCCAACAGAAAGATTTGCCTGGACCAACGTAACGTGATAACAACGTAACGTGATTACGTAATTCCGTAAGGTTCATGTTCAGCCAATCAACCACTTAGACGTCATCGGCAGTCGACGGACCCCAAGCCGATTTTGCACCCGAGCAGATCTTGTACCGACAGGGGCAGTACATACTTTTCTGGGTAGTTTTACAGCATATCGCCATGACTGTCGTTAGTTTAAAAACCATTACGGTAAATGTTGTTACCCGCGGAGCAGAAAGCATGCAACCTCGGTGTGACTCCTCAGACTTTGATGGGCCTTCAGTTAATTCCATTGAGAGAATGCAATGCTGATGCTAGTTTTCTGATGCTGTAGTTTCTGGGTCTGCTCAGGGTCCTGTGCCTGTCGATGATGTCATCACACCACAGCAACACCACTTGGCCAAAACATATTGCTTCTCTTGTTTGATTCTGTTCTTTCACATAGGTTTTAGAAAGAGTTTAGTAGTTTTGTTAATAAATTCATGTTACTTACTGCCTAAATGTTTTTGAATGTGCTAACATCGTAAAGTTGTAAATCCAGCCAATCATCTAGTGTAACGTCATTGACAGGCGCAGGACCTCCAGCTGGCCAGAAGGAAACATGGCGTCTAATAGCCCCCCCCCCCCCAAAAAAGATTCTAGACCTATACCCTATGGTTATATGTTACGAAGGCACCAATATTTTTTAACTACTGGACATCATTTTATTCATTTTCAACATTTTGAAGGACATTTCTAGAGATTTAAGGTAAAAATACACACTGAAGCAATCTTATGTAATCTAGCATATAAATACAATTTCTCTTCTTCTAAAAATCCACATAGTATAATAATTACAGTTTAAATTGTCACAACTCAAATAGTAAACAGTAGGTCAACACAGTGGTTTGGTTATTTATTGAAGTGCTGTGTGTTCCTGGTGTCAGAACTCTGGTTGTTGATTGTTATTTTTTGTCTTTACCAAATGTGAAACAAAATTATAAAGGAAATTGTGTTACAGTAACAGCTGCCATCAAAAATAGCATGTTTATTTGAATGCTGTTTAAGATAAAAAGTGAAAACTTCCGCTGAAGGATATGGTCTTTTAGCATATTGCAAATTGAGGCCTAGTCCACAAGTAGCCGGGTTTTTTTTAACGAATATCCGCCCCTCCAAAAACTTGCATCCACATGACCTCGTTTAAAAAAAAAACTGTCCACACGTACCCGGATAAATACGTTGTTAAGGACATGCCAGACCTGTAGGTGGCAGTACTTCCCCCATTCTTAACCCCGTCCTTCGTCTGTGGTCTTCCGCAAGGAGCAGTAATTCCGCTTGCAAAAACAAACAAGCAGAAAGCGCTTGGACAATTGATAAAGCGAGCGCAGCTCTGAGGGCATCCATGCTGTCGGCTAGTGTAAACACAGGTCGCACACGTGATGTCAGCATTTTTTTGTCGCGGAAAGTGTCGTTGCGGTCCTTAAAACTCCGGTTTTGTCCATCCACACGCAGACACCCAAAACGGAGAAAACGCAGATCTTCACTTTGGCCGGAGTTTTTAAAAAGATCCGTTTTCGTGTGAAAAAACTCTGTTTTCGTGTGGATGACAGACCGAAACGTAGAAAAATATCTACGTTTTGGCAGATCCCCGGCTACGTGTGGACAGGGCCTGAGTTTGGTGTGTTTTCACCTGGAACTCCTGGCAGAGTTTGTGCTACACTCTGGTGGTAAACTCCTATTGCATCAACTTTCAACTATGCGTCTGAATAATCATAACCCCTGTTGTCCACGTCAGGGTAAGACAGTCATTGTACAGCCAGGTCTGTTTACTGCCTGTGCTAAATGTGTGATGATGAAGAAAGGTGACGGGAGTTGAATACAGTAGACATCATTGAACTGGGCTTTTTGAGTTGAGAAAGTCTAATGAAACCAAAAGGTAGAAACATGGCTCATCTAGATGAGCTGCATCATCTTTATCACTGACCCTGGAGTTTGGAGGAGCTGCAGGAGAACTGTAATTACTGGGACAAAATATTTTAACTTTAAAGCTGTCATTACATTCTTTTCAGGTCACTCATTATTTTAGATGAGCTATTATCATAATGATGTCAATAACTACACACCGTGCTGCATCAAACATAACTAAAGCACCTCCCAAAGCCTGGTACTAATAATATGAAGCCACATGTTATGGCTAGATTATTTTTCCCTGAGAAAGCAGCCTTTATGCTAATCCTGCATAGGGTCCGGATGCAGAAACCTACACATCTGTATTATTTCTATTTCAAGCAAATAACCGCAATTCTTCTTTTTAAGAGGCTTTTTGTCTTTGTACAAGACTTTTCTTAATATGCTTTTGAGACCTTGTGCTCTCTTGGCCAATCAATGCTCCTTCATAGAGAAACCAATTACAAAGGCAGCAAAGAGTAACCAACTCCAGTCGCTTAGTCACGCTACAGGGCATATGGCCGTCCTCACTAATCCTACTCACTAATACACTTGCAGATATTGATACAGCGTATGAATCCACACATCCCTCCTGATAGGCATGACTGTGTTTTTAAGCTTCAGAGATGTGATGGACTGCCTCTGTCCTCTTTGATTCTTGACTTTGGTTCATCTGTTTCAGTTTTCTCTTGCAATATAAAGTTGGGTGTGGGGACGCAAAATTACACTGAAACAATCAAAGTCCAACACAGACTACAAGGAGGACATTGATAATATGTAATTTCAGGAATTGCTGATATCTAACTGTATGCCATCGTTATCCTTAACAAACAGCATCATTGGACTGAACTAAAAAAGGTCTTTTAAAATTTTTGGTTGTTAATTTATTCTTGGATATGTGATGTCATGTTAGGCCTGGCTCGTACAGCTGGAGTTTGAAATTGTCAAAAGATTTTCCAAACATGAGGGACCCCACATGTGGTGATAAAAAATCATGGACATCTGTCTGTTTCTATAGTAACCTGTGGGTTACGGGAGTGTTTTCACTGAGTAAACTATTAAAAGGATATGTTTATTACTGTTTAGTTTCTGTCTTTTGACTGTATTTGCAAAAACTTTTACAGTCAAAGAATTTCCTTCAGTCCTTCATAAAATGAGTTTCAAACATAACCACGCACCTCTCAACATCAGAACCTATAAGAAGTGTGTGTGTTACTGGAGAACAATACCACTAAACAGTTTTAAATGACTTTATTGGGGTTCTGCCTTAAGACCCTGTTGTAGACACAAAACACTGTATTTAATTAAATGCCTTGTTTTTATATTGCTTACTCAGCAAAAACCCAACTAGAGTCTTATAATTGAAAAATAAACAAGTACAGCTGGGTTCAGCAGCTAAACTGAGTTAGCTTCCTTGGAATCCTAATAAAAAAAGTTTATTTAGGCTTTTATCTCAACATTTAACTGGAATCTTAAGCAATCTTTTTATTTTCCCTTCTCAGTGGCAAAAAAAAGCAATATCTGTTACACGTGCTAAAATTTCACCCTGCAAAAGAAATATGCTGCTGATCTGGACAATGGTACACAGCCTGGCCTGCCAGACTCCTCCTCTGTTTAATTCTGCACAGAGACAGGGAACTCTCCTGTTCAAATAACCCCGCCCCCTGAGAATTCTAACCGAGCCAACCAGCGCTGAGTAGTGTACGTCACACACCATAACGCCGAGTTAACATGCGACTGAAGCGGAGTTCTCTGCAGCTCTTTCCTCTGTTCTAAATGACTTGGACACGTCTTTAAAACCACAGCAAGTAGAAGAGCTAAAAGCCTTTCTTCTAAAGAAAAATGTTTGTGGCGTCGCCCAACGCCATTTTTCACTACAGCTAAAAAAAAACTACAGCGTCGGGCGGTACAGTCGGCATTCTGTCTTTTTTCTGATTGGTTACTTTTGAGCTGCCTAGTCCCGCCCCTCAAGTGCCTCTCTGCCTGTGAGTTAACAGATTCTATCTCTGTGCAGAATTAAACAGAGGACAAGTCTGGTAGGCCAGGCTAAATGATATATGGGTTATTTTTTAGAGTATTGTTTTTAAAAGCAAGTCATTCATTTATAAAACCCTCATAGCCTGAATAAACATAGAAGTTGAAGGATCTACTGTTTTGCCCAAAAATGTCATTCCCACTGTTATTAAAGCGCATGCAGGTTTATTACTAATCTTTTTTTTTTCTTAATTTATTTGAAAAGCACAAAACAAACAAAGAGGATGTTTTATTTTCAACAAAGAAAAATTGAGTATGATGAAAAGGCAAAGTTGTAGAAGCGACGTTACTTTACTTTAAAAAGAAAAATTAAGAAATCCGTCTCCATAAAACCTAAATTTGTGATTATTTTCTAATCTGGGGGGTTTCAAATTTGACAAATGTGGTTTATCACAAACTATTAATCATAGTTAATTGCCTCTAAAGTCTGTCCGTTTTACCTACTTTTGTGAATATTTAGAATTTTGTGATGTGGAACACAATATCTTAAAATTCAGTGATCTTGGGTCATAGGTCATATCACTTCTGCATTATAAGTTAAACAAGAACAAAAAAGAAACTACCGAGGTCTGTGATCGTCGTAGGAACTAGACACAACGTTATCACCGTTGAGCTGAGTCACACCCCCTTCCAGCTGTAACTGCACACAAACGTAAGAATTTTGAAACTTTTCTAAAGAGTATACTTTTTTTTTAACTAAAAGTGTTGCTATTCTATAAAAGAGAGTGCACTCCATATTATTTCATGCTGCATCTGCCATATTGCCTCCACAAAAAGGTAATTTCACTCTGTCCTTTTAAAACAATAGCATGCAGTGTGCTTTGTGAGGGGCCGGGGGATACCAGCTACTCACCATGCTAAAACGAGGGCATCATTCAGTCACATATGGTGCCTTTCTGCCCTTCCCCCTGGAGACTGTGTGAGGATGTGCAAAGATGCAGAGGGTAAAAATAGAGACGAGAAACTGGGCATTCAAGCCTCCTGTGGGAAAGTACTGGGTTTGTGATACAGAGAGGAAACGTATTTGTCTCTTGGGCGTACGTATCATAACCAGCAAACTAGCATCTCTGTTTGGACAAAGTCCCACAGCCTCAAAGGCAACGTGATGAAAAGTGAGGAAAAAATAAGACCAAGTAAAAATGAGATAATCAGAGAGAGTTTATGCTCCAGATAGCTGAGAGGAAACGGAGGAGAGTAAAAACGCGGTGACCGGACGGCTTTTTGCAGCCAAAGCCTGCGGTGTTAATCCTCAAATTGCCACTTTGGCATCCATCTCACAGGAATGTCTCACTGTCCCTGACAAAGTCAGTGAAGATAAAGGAGTCGTGTTAGTAGCTAGAAGCCCCACAAGCTTGCATGACACAGGAGAGTCCTTGGGGACCAGTGAATGTCAGACAGAGACGGGAGGCGGATGGACAGGTCTGAAGGATTTCTCTCTCCATCAAGGAGGACGATACGCACTTTCCACTATTCAGAGAATGTAGTCTCTTCAGATCTTATTTACCTTTCTCCCCTTACTTTGTTTTGTCTCAATTCATACGACTTCTTAACATGGTGTTGCTCTGCTTTTCCTTTTCTACCGTTCCATCACAAATTCAGGGGCAGGCGGAGAGCAGCAGGACGACACCGTGATTAAGCAGTAAAATCAACATCCTCGCTGGTTGTCCCACTGCATCCAAGGACAATATTTTGTTTCTGTATTAAGCCAGCAGGCTTTCTAATGTGAATGAAAGACACGTACACAAGTAGCTGAAAATATATTGCCCTGCACAGATTGAACAATGTCCGCCCATGATGAGGATGTCTGTACTTTTATTGTTTATATACCTGTGAGCATGTACGCACTCATGTTTTAATGACTCAAGGTTGCTGTTCATAAATAAATCTGTGATTTTACAGGGTGGAGGTCATACTTTTATGAGATTATCATCTGTATCTGTTGTCACATCTGATATCTCTGTGCTGCAGGCATTGTGTTCCACTACCGGGCCCCACATGACCGCTATGCCTTGTCCTTTGCTGATGCCAAGAGGGTGTGCACAGAAAACTCGGCTGCCATTGCAACTCCCGGTCAGCTGCAAGCAACCTTTGCCGATGGCTATGACAACTGCGATGCTGGCTGGCTGGCTGATCAGACTGTTCGGTAAGACTAAAGTTTGGATTCGATGCTGCAAGACAAACCTATAGTGGGACAGTCCTCACAGCTGTTGTCACCGTGGGTGCTCATGAGGAGCAATGTAATGTCAAGGGTGATATTTAGAAAACTCTGCAAGAAAAAGGCATAAGGATTGCTGTTACTGCTGCCAAGGCAACACACAAACGCAAAGGACATGTCTCACATCATGATTCAAATATTTATGCAAAAATGTAAACACTTTGTACAACATAAGCAGATGGGATGACCACAAGAGTCAGGAGGCAGAAAAGTTACTGAATCAGCGGTGCCCAGGTTTGGTCCATGAGGACCGCCAGCTACAGGTTCGTAGGGTAATGAAAGACTGTACTCAAGTGAGAACAGCTTTACTTTAATATTTTTCACTCAAGCAAATATTTTTAAATCAATACAATCAACTGATAAAGAATACATGTTAGAACAGTTCAAGGCAATTCCACTGAATATATAAACTATTCAATGTGGATTCACTTGACCACTAACAGTTTGATAGCAGCTTGACACAGCAGGATCAGCAGATTAAAATCAGACTGTTAACGTGTGCCTGTATCTGCTGCATGTCTGGTTACAACCTAGATCTACAACTTGATCTTCATTCAGTCAAGTACCTAGAGGTGGAAGAGTAGCCAGGCAGGGCACTAGGGATGGGTACCTTTTACATTTGAATCGATCCGGTACTAATTCCCGGTACCTAGGAAACGATACCGATACTTAACGGTACCAATTTTCGATACTTTTGAGTGTTTATTATTTTAATTCTCTTTTATAATTAAATATATATTTTTCTCAATATATAACAATATTTGATATATATCACGATAAATAACATTCAACTGTTTGTATTTTAACATCGTCCTTGTAGTTTTATAAGTTGATAAACTGAAGCAAACATCTTTACTGTGAACTAAATTTACTGTGTATCTTCATTCCTTTTGCCGTCTTTTTTCATTTGATTTTTCCTACTGGGAAGTTAGAATTTCCGAGGAGAAAGCGAACGCACCATTAGCTGATAACAATGGTAGCAATGGAAGCTAACATATCAAGCTAACGTTATCTTAAACCGTTTATTTAACTGCTGGAGCAGATTAAAACGATGATGCCTCACACTTAGATCGTTGTCACTGGTTTCATCTTCACCCAATCACCCGTCACATTTAGTAAAGTGAAGCCAAACTTTAGAGCGCGTTCATGTTCTTCTAGTCGGGAATTCGGAGTTCCGAGGAGAAAGCGAACGCACCATTAGTGAAATGGAAGCTAACATATCAAGCTAATTATATTTACCTACCGGAGCAGATTAACATGAGGATGTCTCACTTAGATCGTTGTCGCTGGTTTCATCATCACCCAGTTACCCATGACATGTAGTGAAGCGGACCCAAGCTTTAGCGTGCGTTCTTTCTACCATGCTGCTCTGTTTACAACTGGCTCGCAGCGAGCGATGACATAACGCTCTTGCGCATGCACAGCTGTCTTGGCAAGTTCTCGTTATGAAGGACGGGTACTGAAACGAGGCACCGTTTGGAATGACGTGAATCGGTGCTCGATCGGTACTGTGGAATTCGGTCGGTACCTTAAAAAGTACCCAATTCGGTACCCATCCCTACAGGGCACTGCAATAAAACTGCTCCTAGACATACAATTGTCACAAAAAAGTTACTCAAGTAAATGTAAGATGTTACCACCCATTGTTGCTTCTATTCTTCGTGATCCAGTTGTTTCTTCTCGCCGGATTCTGAAGAATAGGTGATTAGCAAGCTTGTGCAAAACTGGAGAATGTGTTGAAAGTGCAATTCAACCATTAAATGTGGATACACTGGATAATAATCCTTTTCATCTAGGTAGATGAGAACCTTCATCTGACCTGATGGAGGCTAAACAAGCAGTCCACCTGAAAAGTGCAAGTCTTAATTTGCTTGCTATTGAGCTCCGTAAAATCTTGATCACTGTGTGATATGTAAACAGACCATCATGTGAACCAAAGACAATAAATTGCATTTTGAAAACAACAACATAATGCTGATGTAGCAGAGACACACAAAGAAGTTGGATGGTGTCCTAGGTAGACATGACGTCTGGAGGTCTGAGTGAACTCTAGTCAGAAGAATAGCTACCAAAGGCACTAGTGCCTACTATTGTTTGTTTTAGTCATGAAAGAGCTAGCTGATGGAGAAGAATTTCAGTTTTTGGTCCCGGCCAATCGATGAGCTAGGACTTCTTATGCTTTTTCCTTGTGGTCTGGTTCTGTTTTGGGCAGTACCGCCCCAAATAAGGCGTTCCCTGGCCAGCCGAGAGACACAGTCCCTCCATACCATACCATACCATACCATACCATAGCACACCACACCACACCATACCATACCATACCATACCATACCATACCATACCATACTGTTACACCCCTCTGTGGGCTCAGCTAGGAAGGTGAGGGGAATAAACATAAAATGGACCAGTATAACAAAAAGTGACCTTCGTTGGGGAGAAAAAGGCTTAACCAAGCAAAACCAAACTCAAAGTGTCCTTGTATTTTCAAAGGTTTTATTACAAAAAAAAAAAAAGAAGAACCAAAAGAAGGGCCAAAAAACCCTTTCCTAGAAATTACCAAGTTAACATTAATTAACTGAAACTGACCAGAGGACCAACCGCTCTATAAATCCTATAATTAATCTCCTTTATTTAAAAGGGAATGAAACTCAAAAAGAGGCAAAAAAAAAAACCTCCCAGTTAGTTAAACAAAAAGGTTTGTTTGAAAGACAAACCAACCAAAAACACTGAATAAACCAAAAGTGTCCAAACCACTAAAACTAGCTCAGGAACTCAGACTTCAAAAGGGGAAAACCCCACCTGGTCATTTACCAAAGGTAGTCTAAATGACTCACCAAACCAAAAATTACCGGTTTAACTTAACTAATCCCAAACACGCACAAAAGTCTTAAAGTTGTTTCTTCACAAGAAACAAACAAAGTGGTTTAAACCACAAAACCATCAGACAAGTTAACCACCAAGGGGAGAGAACCACACGTTGCTGCTGCAACCACCAAACATTTCTCTCCCCTGATGAGCTCCAGCTGGCCACTTTTGAAGAGCCAGCTGATGAGGTGCAAAGTCCCAGCTGGCGTGACTGCTGCTCTGGTGCTGTCCATGGTCCTGAAAGTACGGACAGCTTCCCAAGGAGCCGCTGTCCACGGTGCTGCTCTGCTACTGCTGCTGCTGAACAGGGAATGGCACGCAGCACACCACTGGGCTCCAAAACGGCGGCGGCTGTAACACATACCATACCAGTTTATTTATAAAGCACACTTAAAAATAGCATGGCAGCTAACCAAAGTGCTGTACAGGACAGAGAAAGACTCATAAACACAACAACAAAGACAGCATAGGAGTAAAATATAAAGCTACAAACATATAACACACATAAAAGCAAGGCATTAAATTACACTAAAAGTTCACTAACCATAAAACAAGTAAAATCACTAAGATAAGAGATAAAAGAGAAACAAGTAAAACCTAACCGAGCAACGTTAGTGAGCTAAAAGTACAGAAGAATGTCACAAGCTGCCGCTAATAGAGAAGCTTCACGCTGACGTATGAAGACAGTCATGTGGGAAAAGCCAGGCTAAAGTTGTGTGTTTTGAGGGCAGACTTAAACCTACAGAGAGAAGGTGCCTGACGCACATGGAGGGGCAGAGAGTTTCAGAGTTTGGGGGCAGCGTGTGAGAAGGCACGCTCACCCCGAGATTTATAGCGAGCCTCCAGAACAATCAGCAGCAGCTCATCAGCTGAACAAAGAGCACGAGTGGGTGTGTAGAAATGCAACAGGCCGGCCAGGTAAGAGGGTGAAGGGCTGTTCAAAGCCTTGTAGACAAACAGCAGGATTTTGAATTGAATTCTAAATTAGACCGGGAGCCAGTGTGAGTCTGCGAGAATTGGAGAGATGTGTGTGCGTCTGTTGGTGTTGGTTAAGAATCTGGCAGCAGCATTTTGAACCTTCTGTAGCGTGCCCAAGGTAGAAGCACTAATCCCAATCAGGACTGCATTTGCATAATCTTGACGGGAGGTAATGAATGCGTTGATGACGTGTCCTGGTCTTCTAAGTCTCCTCCCAGTTAAGCTGGGCATACACTGTGCGACTTTTCACTCGTAGCACTCAGCTTCAGCTCAAACTGTATGACTTCCTCGCAGGGCAGATCTCACGAGCCAGGCGCTCACACTGCACGACCCAGTTCTCGCATGCGACCTGACTGCTCACACTGTACGTCTGGTAGCAACACGTCGGCCCTAAAAAAATGCTAAAAATAGCAGTTTTTACTCAACACGTCAGACTTTTTTGTCTTGTTTTGCCTGTTGTCCTTCGGGAGAGCTGCAGGAGGACACACAGGGATTTATGGGGGTTGGATGAGGAAAATGAAATAAAGAAAGTAAATCTGTGTTTTGTGATCAGTTTAATTTGACATGAACACGACAAACACGCTTTCTTGACGATCTTTGTGAGTAAAAAAACGTGTAGAAATTAAAACGAACAGCGTGTGTTATTAGGGAAATAACGAGTGAGCGGTGTTGATGCAGGATTGCGCATGCGCCGTGAGCGGTTCTGATACTTTTTGGGTCGCAGCTGCTCACAACGCCGCTTCAACAGTGCGATACCCTCACGAGGGACAAGCAAATTATTAAACACTCCAGAAGTCCGTGCGAGCTCACGATTGCTGATCGGTAGCTGGTCACGTGGTGTTAATCGCCTCTCGTAACCCCCTGCACACTACACGACGCTCGGCGCAAAACTCGCCCCGATCTCGTGGTTTCTTGCACGAGTGGAAAATCGGCTCGAAAAAGTGAAAAAGTCGCACAGTGTACGCCCGGCTTTAGACATTCCCAGAAAACCTCAGCAAGGAGGTGTCCATGAGGCATCGTAACCAGATGCCAGAGCCACCTCAACTGGCTCATGCCAATGTGGAAGAGCAGCGGGTCTACTCCGAGCCCCTCCCGGATAACCGAGCTTCTCACCCTATCTTAGGGAGAGCCCAGACACCCGGTGGAGAAAACTCATTTCAGCCGCTTGTATCCGCGATCTCATTCTTTTCGGTCGCCACCCAAAGCTGATGACCATAGGTGAGGGTAGGAACGTAGATCGACCGGTAAATCAAGAGCTTCACCTTCTGGCTCAGCTCTCTCTTCACCACGACAGACCGGTACAACGCCCGCATCACTACAGACACAGCACCAATCCGACTATCGATCTCGCGCTCCATTTTTCCCTCACTCGTGAACAAGACCCCGAAATACTTAAACTTCTCCACTTCGGGCAGGACCTCATCCCTGACCTGGAGACGGCATTCTACCCTTTTCCGAATCAAGACCATGGTCTCAGATTTAGAGGAGCTGATTCTCATCCCAGCTGCTCTGACGCAAAAAAAAAGTATATTCTTCAAATTATTTGTTGAACCGAGTAGTTTATTTTTATATATCAACCCAAAGTTCCCTTGGTAAAAATAATAAAGTTTAAGTGTGAAAAAAAAAGCATTTGGTTAGATTTCCATCCTTGGGTGTTCTGCCAGGTGGGTACATCACTGATGTTAACAGCATAATCTAAATCTAAATTTTATCTCCCATCACTGTTGCTTCAGTTATCAGGCAGATTGTTTGTTGTCTCTGACAGCCTTTCCCAACATTCCCGTGGCACATATTTCCTCTCTGTTCCTCCTTTCTCCGTCCATGCCGCTCTCCTGTTGTTTTCACTTGGGAGCTGTCTAATTGGTGCAGATTCTGGAGTCTGATGGTGCTTTAGCCAGGAGGAAGGTGTCCAATTAATATAAGAGGTGAAGAAAGTGTATAGAAGAAAGCAGCAGAGGCCTGGCACGCTGTAGGATTTGGATGTTTTTTCATATTCTGTCTAAAAATGTCTCGTTATGTAAGAGGAGGAATTGTAGATTTATAGTCATTGGCAAGCATGTGTGTGTTTGTGATTGTGTGTGGTTTTTTTCTGAGTACTTTTAAGTCCCTGTGTGCCTGGCGTAATCTTTTAATCAGCCTCTTTGCTTGCGCCTTGGTACTGCTGGAATCAATGTTCTACTGGAATAATTGCTTAGGTGAGGCCCAAATATAGATTGCTGCTTTCTTAGCCCCACTGGCGTGCCAAGTCACAGAAGGAATTCCAGATTCTTTCCTCCTTTCCTCGGCTTTTTACCGCCGCTTCCTGCTTCTCTGCCTCCTGCTACAACCTTGTGCGGTCAGTTTACTGCAGTTTGGAAGGTGAGCAATTAGGTTGTGAAGCTCACATTTAGAGCAGGACGATTAAAAGTTTAGTGATGAAAGCGTTTTTGAATCTTAACGCTGTAAAAACATATCACTGTATTCCTCAATTTTAGGAGAGGCAAGAGTGTTTATTTGCTTATGTTTGTGAATCTTCTCTGAGTAGAAGATATCTTTAAGTTTATCGTATTCGGGGCAGACAGTGATAAAAGCGTTGCTCGGTTTTCTTCTTCTGCTTGTGAGCATGGACTCGTCCCGTGGGAGCCAAGTCTTTGTGTTTGTGTGGCTGCTGTTTTCATGGCCAAGCCACATAAATCTTGCTCTTTCTTCTTTCACTCCTTTCGTCTTTGTCCCTTCCTCTTTGTTTCCTCTGCAGGTACCCCATCCAATCGCCTCGGCCCGGTTGCTATGGTGATCGCGAGGACTCACCTGGTGTCCGTAACTATGGCAGTAGAGCCCCCGATGAGCTGTTTGATGTCTACTGCTTTGCTAAGCAGCTTCAAGGTAGGAATTGGGAATTCTATCCATAATTTCAAATGAAACTGTTTCTGGGAATTTTATTGCAGTTTTCATGTTGTTAGTATGGGGAAGACCCTGGAAGACCCCAATAATTTCTCATTTAAGCAACATAAAGCAAATATGGTGTAATTGTCTTCAGGAGCCGTTATTAGATCCTCCTGCCCAGGGCAGCACCTTCTCAGTTATTTGTTAGTTATTGTTGTTAGTTAGTTAATTGTGACCCAATTACTTGCTTGTCTAATCTATGTGGAGAGCAAAGCCTCTGTAATAATCAGGCCTTTCTGTTTAATGGTTAGAAGTTTTTACATTGAGATGAAGAAGATTATAGATGTATTATGGGACTCATCACAGCAGAAGCCCTGAAGAAGGAGTTCACATTCACACACACACACACACACACACACACACACACACGCTCGCACGCACGCACGCACACACACACACACACACACACACACACACACACACACACACACACACACACACACACACTACAAACCAGAATTTGTTTCTACATTAAAATAACAACCAATTAGAGTGCTACATGAAAATCATTTTGTTGTCAACTATACTTAAAAGTATAAATGATTTACAAAATCATTCACTAAAAACCTCTAGATTTGAATAATATTTGAACTGATGAGCAGTTGAAGAAATTATTTTCAACAAAAGTCAAGAAGATTTTATAGATTAGTGAAAAACTGTAAGATGGGTGGTACTGGTTTTATTTTATTTTATATTTTACGATGTGTTGTTTACTTGAGCACAGCTATATGTACTTTGTATTCTTATTCTTACTCACAGATTTAACAATTCTTTTGAGCTGCACCAGAGTTTAGAATTTCGGCAATACATTTTCATTTTTGCAAAACTGGATGAGTGAAATAAAAAAATGGAATGAATGTAAGTGTTATCAGTCACAGTAAACTCTCAGACTGCTCTTCCTGTCAATGATTCTAAAATATCCAGAATAGGGGATTTGTGCAGCTCAAGTCGACAGCTTGAACTCCTGCAGACCTTCCAGACAACTAATGTTCATTTTGATAGAACGGAAACTTAATCCCAAAAGTCTTCTTAGCCCCATTTTCTGTTGGCCTGGATAGGCTCTGATTGTTGGTCCTCCTCTCATCTTTACCCACTTCAGCGGCATTTCCACCTCTTAGCTGTTTTAGGTCAATTCACTGGAAAAGGTTCAGCTAAACCTTGCTAGCATAATCTTGAAATGATTTTTCTGAGCTCACAGCTGGAGAACTGAATGTATGACAGCAGAAGTATAATTTAGAATGAAAAACGTGTTTCTATATATGCCATGCACTGTTTAAATGCATGTTAATTATGCATGATGCACCTTACAACTGTGTCACTGAAGGCTGCATAGGCGCAGTTCAAGTTTTGACAGGAACAGCAGCACTTACTAAAGCTGTTAAATATAAATGTTCACAATAAATTCTCCTAAAAGGAACTACTTCACATTTCAAGAAATTAAAAAATAAATGTGGATTATTTTTTTTCTGTTACAGAGCCTTTAAAGGTGTGGAACACAGAAAAAAAATATTAAATTATTTATTAAATTATTTTTTCTGATTATAATTGATCAATTTGAGTTTAACATGCAGGCTGTACATATAAATAGTCTCCTACACCTATCTCCTGCAGTAGCTTCTGATAGAAAATAGACGGTGAAACTCTAGGATTAGAACATCCTGACAGATCTATGTCACTCTGCCACTTAGCATTCATGGACTCACCCATGGTTTAGCGCCGAGGAGACAGCAGAGAGCGTCTCTACTAGCAGCAGCTAACTTTTAGCGTTAGCAACTTCACCACACAGCAGAACTCCTCCAGGCTTGTGTTTTCTGTGGAGATTAAACATCAAAGTTGCAGAGCAAAGGGAGTCAGTGGAGTCACTTTGCTGTTTTCCAATCCTAGGCAAGATCTCTAAATATCAGGAAATAAGAGTCCAAATCCTGCCGTCTACTGCCGCTCTGCAGAATTGTCGGTGCTGAAAAAAGCAATTCTAGGCATATTCTGTCCAGAGTACAGCTCACAAGAGACCACTGCAAATGCATTGATTAAACAAGTTTCCCACAACTTAGAGCTATTTTTTATTCCACATCTATTTTGCACTGAACACCCTGCTGCCCTCTGGGAGGCGCTACAGGAGCCTCCGGACTAAGACCACCGGGTACCGGAACAGTTTCTTCCCAACAGCTGTCAGACTCCTGAACTCTGCCTCCTGACATATGACCCACGTTAAACTCATGGACTGTTTGTATTAACTACAGCCTGTACATACTTAAAGTCATAGAATATTCATAACATACTTCATACCGTGTACATTATAACATACGTAATGGATCCATTTCTGTAATTTACTTACACATCTATATTATTGCTAATACAGATTGTAATACATCTATATCACGGCTAAAGCACTTCTGGATGGATGCAAACTGCATTTCGTTGCCCTGTACCTGTACATGTGCAATGACAATAAAGTTGAATTCCATTCTATTCTATTCTATTTTGCTTTTTTATTAGTCAGGGAGTACAATCTGCTCTACTAGGCTGTTGACCCACAGTTTAAACTGGAATTTAATCAGTTTAATCCTTAATGTAACAAAAAATGTTACCACTTTAATACAAATTCAGTATTTGATGTCATGAGCAGATTCAAATACAACAAGATTTTTTTAAAGCATCTGAGAAAATTGGCATTGTCACGAAATAGGTTAGTAATTATAAGGTTATAAGTTCCTGTGTGGGATTATTAAAGGGGGAACTGAACCTTCTGGCTGTTCTTGTCAGTAAGTTTTACTTTCAATCAACCCTGCTGATGATTAAAGTCATCTCCAGTCCCCAAACTAATGACTACCTCTCCTCATACTTTACAATTATCTTTCATTCATTTCCCGGTGATTTTGTCTGCCTGAATTGAGATGTTTATGTTTTATTGACCTGCTGTAATCTCTGGAGAACATCCATTACAACAGCAGGCTTTTAACAGTGCAGTCTGACCTGCTGGGTTAGTCCAGTCACCTATTATAATGTGCTACAACCACAAGTGTTATTAAACCTAATAAAGGTAAGAGTATTCCAGGGTTATTTATGCAGCATTAACACCCTGGTGTCACTGACACACATGCAATAGATGCAGTAAAACCTCCAGACTTTATATTCAGTAAAAACAATAAATGAATTTATATAAAACATTTTTATACTCTTAAATTTTTTTAAATTACAGAATAATAATCTTGAAATTTTTAACTGCAAGGGGAAAAGAACAAAAGTGAAGTATCAAAAAGTTCTAACTTTAGTATCTCAATCCCCAAACTAATATTATAAAAACATGGTTTATTGAAAACAGTGCTGCCTTAATTTTTACACAATAAGAATATGAAAAATGCCTCTAAACATCTACAGCTCATAAAAATGTTTAAAAATAATTGTTCTTTGTTCTCCTGTCAGAAGGAGCTTCAATTCCCACCTCCGACAGAACTTCCAAAATGTTCTGGGGGAGGTGGGGGACATTGAGTCTGAATGGACCCTGTTCTGTGCCTCCATTGTTGAGGCGGCCGACCGGAGCAGTGGTCGCAGGTTCGCCGGTGCCGTCGCGGTGGCAACCCCCGAACCCGCTGGTGGACACCGGCGGTTAGAGATGCTGTCAAGCTGAAGAAAGAGTCCTATCAGGTCTTTTTAGCCTGTGGGACTCCAGAGGCAGCTGACGGGTACCGGCAGTCCAAGAATGCGGCTCGGGTGGTCGCCGAGGCAAACACCCAGGCGTGGGAGGAGTTTGGTGAGACCATGGAGCAAGACTTCCGTATGGCTTAGAGGCGATTTTGGTCCACCATCCGGCGCCTCAGAGGGGGAAAGCAGTGCACTAACAACACTATCTATAGTGGGGACGGTGTGCTGCTGACCTCTACTCAGGATGTTGTGGATCGGTGGGCAGAAAACTTCGAAGACCTCCTCAATCCCACCGACACGTCTTCCAGTGAGGAAGCAGAGTCTGGGGACTTTAAGTTAAGCTCTCAGATCTCTGGTGCGGAGGTCACTGAGGTGGTTAAAAAGCTCCTCTGTGGCAAGGCTCCAGGGGTGGATGAGATCCGCCCGGAGTTCCTTAAAGCTCTGGATGTTGTGGGGCTGTGTTGGCTGACACGGCTCTGCAATATCGCGTGGACATCAGGGGCAGTTCCACTGGACTGGCAGACCAGGGTGGTGGTCCCCTTATTTAAAAAGAGGGACCGCAGGGTGTGTTCCAACTACAGGGGGTTCACACTCCTAAGCTTTCCTGGTAAGGACTATTCAAGGTTTCTGGAGAGGAGGGTCCGTCGGATTGTTGAACCTCAGATTCAGGAGGAGCAATGTGGTTTTCATCCTGGCCGTGGAACACTGAACCAGCTCTATACCCTTAGGGGGATCCTGGAGGGTGCGTGGGAATTTGCCCAACCAGTCTACATGTGTTTTGTGGACTTGGAGAAGGCGTTTCACCGCGTCCCTCGGGGGGGGGCCTGTGTGTGTGTATGTGTGTGTGTGTGTGTGTGTGTGTGTGGGGGGGGGGGGGGTACTCCGGGAGTATGGGGTACCAGGCCCTCTGATACGGGCTGTTAGGTCCCTGTATGACCGGTGTCAGAGCTTGGTCCTCATTGCCGGCAGTAAGTCGGGCTCCTTCCCAGTGAGAGTTGGACTCCACCAAGGCTGCCCCTTGTCACCGATTCTGTTCATAACCTTTATGGACAGGGTTACTAGGCGCAGCCAAGGTGTTGAGGGAATCCATCTTGGTGGCCTGAGGATCAGTTCTCTGCTTTTTGCAGATGATGTGGTCCTGTTGGCTTCATCAGAACGTGATCTTCAGCTTTCACTGGAGCGGCTCGCAGCCGAGTGTGAAGCAGCTGGGATGAGAATCAGCTCCTCTAAATCTGAGACCATGGTCTTGATTCGGAAAAGGGTAGAATGCCTTCTCCGGGTCAGGGATGAGGTCCTGCCCCAAGTGGAGGAGTTTCAGTATCTCGGGGTCTTGTTCACGAGTGAGAGAAAACTGGAGCGTGAGATTGATAGACGGATTGGCGCTGCATCTGCAGTGATGCAGGCGTTGTACCGGTCTGTCGTGGTGAAGAGAGCTGAACTACAAGGCAAAGCTCTCGATTTACCGGTCGATCTACATTCCTACCCTCACCTGCGGTCACAAGTTTTGGGTAGTGATCGAAAGAACAAGATCCCTTATACAAGCAGCTGAAATGAGTTTTCTCCGCAGAGTGGCTGGGCTCTCCCTTAGAGATAGGGTGAGAAGCTTGGTCATCCAAGAGGGGCTCGGAGTAGACCTCCACATCGAGAGGAGCCAGTTGAGGTGGCTCGGGCATCTGGTCAGGATGCCTCCTGGACGCCTCCCTGGTGAGGTTTTCCGGGCACGTCCAACCGGGAGGAGACCTAAAGGTAGACCCAGGACACGGTGGAGGGACTATGTCTCTCAGCTGGCCAGGGAACGCCTTGGAATTCCCCCGGAGGAGGTGGTCCAAGTGGCTGGGGAGAGGGAAGTCTGGGCCTCTTGACTTAGGCTACTGCTCCCGCGACCCGACTCTGGATAAGTGGAAGAAAATGGATGGATGGATATTCCTTGATAAAATGCAGATTAGCACATCCTGTTTTGTATGGTGTGTTCAGTTTAGGTGCAGTCGTTAAAGCTAACGCAGGTCCAGTGCTGTATTAGTTTTTGATTTTCTTTTTGAAACTCAACATAACTTTATTCCTGAAGATAATTTGTCTTTCTGTAATGCAGACTTTACATAGTGAAATAGGATTTTTGGGTTTATTTATTTTCTTTTATGTCCATATAAAAAGATTTTGCAGTCCTGTGCTTTGAAAGTCAAGGATTTCCTCAAACCATGAACACCCAGGAAATCATTTGATCGTATAGTTTTACTCTTTCAGTGCTTCTCCTTGAGCTGTCTCTGTCTTTATTCTATTAGCAGCTTTATACAGCCTCTTCACATTTTATTGAAAAACTATTCATCTTTTACTTTTTTTAAAGTGCATTTAACACTGAGAATCCATTTTAAAATGACATTCTGGAGGATCTTTTATGCTCTGGACGTAAATCTTTTCTTTAATTTCAAGACCAAAAGTCTCTACCTTTTACTTTTTTATATAACGTTGACAAAAGAAAAGGATAAAAGGCTTGAAGTCATGATTTTTGGGTCTCTTATCAAAATCTAATGTAATCTCGAAGATCTAGCTCCGAAGACTGAATCTGTTCTGTCTCACCCACTGAACTCCCATCTCTCATCTCTTCACACCTTCCAGGTGAGGTGTTCCACTCCACTGTGCCTGAGAAGCTGAGCCTTGCCACTGCTTCCACCCACTGCCATACTCTGGGAGCCCAGCTGGCCACTGTCGGACAGCTTTACCTGGCTTGGCAGGCTGGCCTGGACCAGTGTGACCCTGGCTGGCTGGCAGATGGCAGCGTCCGCTATCCCATAAACGTCCCGCGGAAGAACTGTGGCGGAGACGAACCCGGGGTGCGGACAGTCTACAACAACCCCAACCGCACCGGCTTCCCAGACACCACCGCTCTGTTCGATTCCTTCTGCTACAGAGGTATAGAGAGCTTTTCCATGATAAAGCCGATGTGGTACCATCATTGTGGTAATTGCCATGGCAACAGCAGAGGAGTCTGGGGACTTGCGTTCCTCTCTGATTTTTAATTAGCACTAAGTATTTGTGTCACACATGAAGGATTTGGGAAGAGATCGTGTGACATTTGTGTAGCTCCTGAAGGATTTGAGGTCTTGGATGTTTAGAGAAGCCTCAGAGATTAAACAGAACTGCAGATACAATAATGAATGAATGAATGAATGCAGAAGATCCAGCTTAGGTTTACAGTGAATTTGTCCAACCTTTTTTCTTTCATCAAGGCCCAAATTAGACTTAGATTTGTTCTGTATTCATCTCATGTGACCCTGTTCAGTTTTAAAGCTTAGTTATGATTTCTCAATATAATCGTTGCACATATTTCTACTTACTATCAGAAAATATGATTTTTAGAATTGCTCGAGATTAGTTACATCTCTCACAGCAGCAGCAGTAAATGGACACATCTGCATTACTCCAGTCAGTTATGTCAACAAGAACAGCATGGAGGAAAATAATCAAAACAACAGATGATAGAAGTCCCTCTGTTTACATTTACACTCACATTTAGCTAAATATCCCATCATTTAACTGAATACAGATCTAAATGATAATGCGACTCGTTTAACAATTGATTTAGTTTGAAACTATCTAAGTGAACAATGTGTTAAACACGTGTATTTATTTAAAATGATGAGGGTTGCAAATAGAAACAAAGACTGACTTTAATAACATGGTGACTCATGCTTTGAATTCATAGCTGATTTGACTGCGATGGGGCGAGGGATGGTGAGGGGTTGCAGTGGCAGATAAATCAGGTAAAGTGAAATGTACCTTTATTTGTTACAGCTCATCAGCCAGCAGGAATCCAGGCTTCTGAGGCAAAGGCTTTACACCAGACCAGACCAGCTGCACAGGAGTTGTCTCCAGCCCCAGAAGCCCAAAGAAAATCCCATTCCACTGAAACACCTGCCTGGGCTGGCTTAGTTGACTCAAACACAACAGGACTCTCATTTCTCGTGAGAATAAACAGCTCATCTAGGACCTCTGAAGAGCACATGGTCAACTTAAAGCATGAAGACGGTTGGGACGAAAGACAAAATGAATCCAGAGGAAGTCAACATGGCCAGGATGAGACTGATGGTTCAAAAAGTAACCACACCTCGGGTCTATTTGACTTTAAAATGGCAGAGAGCCATGGAGGTTCTGCCCAAAAGGAGGAGGATTACAGCTACTATGAATTTGACACCTCAACCCCATCTTCTACACCACTCCCTCCGACAGGTAGTAGTATCCTCAATGGATTTTTGAATACCCTCATGTGGCCCTTCAAGTACTGGACAGGGAGCCAAGAGGCAAACGAGACGGCGGGGTCGCCCTCAGCGCCCGAGGGGGGAGCTGGAGAGAATCAGGGACAAGAACAAGCATCTAACGGAAACACAAGTGTCCCAAAGCAGAGTGAAATCAAGAGCATCACGGACAACGCTATATTGGAGCTGAAAAGTGGTACTTTCTCCCTCAGAGGTGCCACAGGTGAGCAGCAGAGCTTAGAGAAGGAACTGTCTGAGCAGGAAAAAGAGCTCAGGCCACTGATTAAACTTGTCCCAGCTGTGCCAGAGCAAAGAGGGAATGAAGGTGTTGCCAATACGTACAAACATCAGTCCGCCCTAAATGGTAAGTTTTGTTTTAAATGTTTACATATGTGGGTTAGTCAGCTCGAACCGGTACGACAAAAGACTTAAAACGCCTTTCATGTGTTGCAATTTCTGTTAAAATTCAATCAGAAGGTTATTTTTGCTTCAAAAGGAGGCGTGGCATAATTTAAATGCTGCTGGTAAATATAGACTCTATTTATGTCATGCTTTTCAAACAGCCTCTGCCTCTGCACTCCACTTTCTCTCCCTTCCCCCTCGAGTATGCTGTAATATATTCCTCTGCAGGGCAATTTCAAGTATCGCTTGAAATTTAATTAAACAATAACAGCAAACAAACAAAGGGGGCTTCGCATGGAAATGCAAAAACGTTGTAGACGTCTCCACCTCTGTTGCCAGTGACGGCGTTTTTGTTCACAGTGCAGGTTGAGGAACAAAGAAATGGCTTGAAAGTTTGAGACGGTGAAAGATTTATTTGCAAATGTAAAAGCTGTTTAACAAAAACAGGACTGCCTTTTAAATTACAGCTTCTTCTCAGGAGTGACAAATGGGTCAGAAATAAAATAAAACAGCTGGACGAATGATGGATGGACAAAGACAAAAATGAGAATAGGAAAGATCAACGAGCTGAATAACAAAAAAATCACAAGTTAATCAATAAAGAGAAAACAACAGGTCATGTGAAGAATACGGTCAGTTTTCCTGAGTAGCACATCCACAGAATACCACGATGTAAAATGTAAAAACTTTTTAAAAGTGTACCACAACCCACAATTTCTTCTAACAGCCACCAGAAATAACACACACGGCCCTAACATCAGCCAGAAGAAGAAGGTACAACGTAAGACAAACCCTCTCTCACACAGACAGCTAGAGGAATGATTCAATAAAAGCTTTTCTCACCAAGCAATGGCTTGCTTTTTTAATACAAATACAACTGTGTCACCTGAAATCCAGTGGCAACCAATCTCAGGGTGTTTTAAAAAAATCAAGCTTTAGCCTACATGCATTATTTACAGCTTCGTGTAATTAGCTTGAAGGTTGGGTTGCATTACTCTTCGCTCCCATCTTAATCTACGTCTCTGCCAATTACGGCCCGGTCCTCTGAATGATCACAGCTGAAGGTGACGAGCAAACTGGTGGCAGGCGAGGAAGAAGAAAATATGAAAAGTGATAGAAATCTGCCCAAGTGGTTTTTCTAAGGCACCATCAGTGACTGGATTAACTGTTTTATTGCACGCTGCAGGATATCTCCTATAGCTCAGCAGTTTGATGATGGCATGTTGTCTTTTTGATTGAAAGGGGATGCTGTTCTCTGCTCTGCAGTCTGATTAGAATATTGTAGGTGTGGTACCCTGAAAAAACATTTTATAATTTTATTTCTGATTATAATCAGTTGCTTTGAGATTTTCATGCAGGCTGATCATAACAATAGTCTTCTGTACTTTTCTCTTGCATTAGCTTCTTATAGAAAATAGACGGTGAAACTCTAGGATTTTAAAAAGCCTGACAGATCTACGTCACAATGTCACTTAACATTCATGGACTCACCCATCTTGGCTCGCAATGGGGAAGGCTGTTGCTGGTTTAGCGTCCAACAGCAGACCACATCCTGACCAGTAGAAGCTAACCTCATCGGGCTCATCTCTGACGGTGATGAGTCCGCCTACAGGAGGGAGGTGGAACGGTTGCTGTACTGGTGCAGCAGCAACAACCTGGAGCTCAATGCTCAGAAGACAGTGGAGATGATTGTGGACTTCAGGAAAGTAACAGCCCCATCTCTCCCCCTCGTCCTGACGGACACCCCCGTCACCACTGTGGACTCCTTCCGCTTCCTCGAAACCACCATCACACAGGACCTTAGGTGGGAGTCATCCATCAGCTCCCTGATCAAAAAGGCCCAGCAGAGGATGTACTTTCTGCGGCAGTTGAAAAAGGCCAAACTGCCGGCCCAGATGATGGTGCAGTTTTACACGGCCATCACTGAGTCCATCCTCACCTCCTCCATCGCTGTGCGGTACGCTGGAGCCACAGTGAGGGACAAACATAGACTGTAGCGCATTGTGCGCTCTGCTGAGAAGGTGATTGGCTGCAGCCTTCCATCTCTCCAGGACCTGTACATCTCCAGAACTCGGGGGGGTACAGGTCGGATAGCAGCTGACCCATCGAACCCGGGTCACAGACTTTTTGAGCCGCTTCCCTCAGGCAGGAGGTTACGGTCCATCCGGACCAGAACCTCCCGCCATAAGAACAGCTTCTTTCCATCTGCCGTTAGACTTGTGAATAGCTTATAAACACACAACCATGCTCGTCTTCTGTACTCGACACAAAGTCACGTTATCGGCCATGTTACCATTACCTGCCATTTTTTATAGCTGAAAGTTTTATTCTAGTTTTTTTTAATTATATTTTATTCTATTTTTAATCTTATTATTCATGTTATATGTAGCACATTAGTACCAAAGCAAGTTCCTAGTTTGTGAATTGTTTGTTCACTGACAATGGCAATAAACCTGATTCTGATTCTGATTCTGTTAGCATTAGCAGCTTCACCACACAGCACAACTCCTACAGGCTTGTGTTATTTGTGGAGATAAAACATCAACATAGCAAGTCTGTGGTTGAGTTGTGTTGCTGGTTATCCAGTCCGGGGCGAGATGTCCAAACAGCAGGAAGATTCCAATTCCTGCCGTGTTCTCTGTCTCTGCTGCAGCAGACTGTCCCTGCTGACCCAAGCATGTCTGGGCGTTTTTTGCCCTGGGTAAAGCTTGCAAGGCATTCATTCCTACCAGAGACCACTGCAAATGTATATAAAGAATCTACTTTTTTTTTACCCTTTTTAAACTGACTGAACAGCCTCGTGCAATTACAAGACCTATCCACTTCTTGTGAATGGATCAGAATAAAAATGGAAGCTCTGAGCATTGAGTGCTGCTGACATGATTCAAATGGCCATGCAATAACTTCCACTCAGTCTGTTTTATTAGATGTCATATCTATAAATGGTATGAGGTAGCTCTGGCACTATCTGTCTGACTCTGCTCCCCCTCCTCTCATTGTCAGCCTCCACTCTCGCTGTTTAATTTCATGTCTGCCTGGCCCAGGAGATTGTCTCAGCCCGTTTACTCCAGTAAAGTGGTGTGAACACAGCAGAACAGGTCACTGTGAAAGTACACAATTACAGCCTGAATGTGGGTTTTATACGTTAGTTTTGCTGCATTTCGCTTTGTTTTTTTTTCCTACTCACTCCTCTGTGCACAGATTTACAGCTGAATAGATTAACTTAATCCGTGCTCTAAATAGTTCCATGAAATCACCAAAAACCTATGTCTAATCATCTCTTTTTATTTATTACATGGATCATTACATAGATGATCAATCCGGATTAATGAGCCGAATTATTCCCACTTCCATCAGTGTGTAGTGAAAGTATGTAATTACCTATTTGGATTATTAATAGGACAATTACGCCGAACTACTAGGCTCTCATGGAAATGAACCTCCAACTCATAAACCTTACTTAGGCGTAAGGAAACGTAGAACCTTCTGAATAATTTACACACAGTTTAATGTTTTATGCATGGACATCTTTGTGTATGTTCTCCCTGGTGTGGTAATTTGTTGTGCTGTATTGTTGGGCTTTTCGGACATGGTGAGTGAGCTGGAGAAAGTCAAACTGAGCTGAGCGATGATCAACTCGTCTCAGTGACGCAGCTGCAGCACTGCCCTAAAAAATAAAAACCTATTTATTCATGAGTCACTCATGCAGACAGAATGAATTATTGATGCTGTTTACAGAGTCTGGTTTAATAGCTGTAAACTGATAAGGTAGAGTGGATCACTTCATCTAAATAAACAGACGTCAATGGAGCTTTTTGATGAGCTCATCGTTTGCTGGTGGTGTTGCAAAATTTGCTTCTAGGTCGATCCATATGGCCTCTGTCACTGCAGGCAACTGCGTTTCAACAGGAGGATGTTATGGGTAAAACAATCCACAGGGACGGAAGTTAGGAATCTGTTTCAGCACACACTACTCTTTTTGTTCTTTTTGGGTTTTTTAAGTCTACAAGCAAATGGGTTTACTTACGGGTGGCGTCCATTTCTGGTAACAACATGAAGAAAAATAGAACTTTGACCGACCTACTCTGTCAGAGAGAATAAAGTTTGATTTTCTACTTTAAAGAACACATACTTGTTATTTGAGCGCCAAAAATTAAAGTTTACTGGCAGCTTTTAAAATCAGACCTAAAATTATGCCAAAGTTCTGAGTAATTGCACCCTAACAGCAGTTTCATTAAAGATTATGGAACTTTTTCTCATTTTCTTGGTAGTTAGCTAAATGAGGGAGCTAGCTTATTCCCTTGTTTATCTTAAAAGTTAATAGTCTTGCTACAGCAGGGGTGCTCCCAGAAAATTTTGATAAGGGTGGCCAGACGGGGTCAAAAACTCTTTTGGGGTGGCACGCCAAATTGGTCCTTGTATTAAATCTGGGGGAGTTTAGCCTGTAGCGATCAATTGCATTGCTCCTTTATTCTTTTTTTATTAAAAAACAAAATGTATTCAAAACACATAACTCAAATTTGAGAAACACAACCATTTCAGAAAAACACTTTTCAGCTATTTAAGATGTTATCACAAAATTAATTTTAGAATTTTATTTTCTGGTTTAATTCACCTGTTGCTGTCTTCTCAAAAACTGTGGAGATATAAACTTTTTTTAATGGTGAGCAGCAGAAACATACATTTTTAAATTCTGATTATTTTTTTACTCATTAATTGTACAATTTTATTAGGTTTTACATTCATGTCTTGAATAAATACGATGAAGTTTAAGTGAACATTAATATGATTTATCAACACTGGGCTTCCCTAGAGGGGCCAGTAATTTTCTAGGGTTGTCCTTGGCCTCCCCTGGCCACCCCTTGGGAGCACCGCTATGCTACAGTTCTGAGTACAGTTTTATTTTTTTTATTTTTTTACAATCAAAACAAAATCATCATATTGTGAGTCAGCTATGATTTTGCCATTTCTCTGTTACCCTCTGGTATCAGATTCACTTCTTTATTATTTTACATGTCTGAGGCCAAGAGGTGCCAGATATACAAGAAGACAAGGAGAGCTAAATAAATTATTATTCTTTAGAATCTTCATTAATATTAGTATTAGTAATATGTATTATAAATAACTTGTTGGTGCATTTTAATAACTAAAATAAAAGCTATAGTGTCACAAAAATTCAAAAGGGTGTTTCTTTTTTATGTAGTTTTTTTGACTGGGGTTAGGGTTATATCTATTAAATATATTGAATATAGTAAACATACAACAAAGTTTCATTCTGTAGGATGAGATGTTGGCATTACAACATGTTACCTCACTCATGCATGACATTTTTACAGTAAATGCAATAAAAAAATCAGTTCTCAGAATTAATGGGGTGAATTTTCATCTGCTTAGTACAACTGTCTTGAATTAGTGACCCAGTTATCCAAGAAGAAAATAACTCTTTTTGTCGCCAGGGTTTGGCTCCTATTATTGCTCTGTTTGAAAATGAAGTCCATTTGCAAATGGAAATATGGAAACAAGGACTGCAATTGTTATGACTCTATTTTGCAAACCTGACAGCACACGGCTTTTAAACTGATAAAGGAACATTTCACAAAATATTTTATTTTATCAGCTGATTCTCGCTGGACTCCACAATTTAGCAGATTCCTGCTGTGTAAAACTAATTTGCCATATGGCTCCAAAAATTACAAAGTAGAATGCACGCAAATTAGGTTTAGCCTCAAATCACTCATCTTAGCAAAGCCATGCTTCTGCTGTGATAGTGTTAACTTTTCATTTTTCTTTTGAGACTCTGATCTCAGAACAAGTTTAATTGGGTTTATGCAAGCAACACTTCATTTTTTAATTGCCAATTAGATTTTCATAAAATGAAATCCCCTTTCTATCCAAAGGATGGAAATATTTTTATTTATCTGCTCTGTCTTTTTTGTTTCTTGCAGAGTTGCCTGCATCAGGTCATGTGGAGAAGTCTCTACCCATCAAGCAGGTCAACGTATCCAGTCCTCAGAGTCCCAAATGGGACCCTTCCATTGCTCCTGTGGTCCCCAGTGTTCATTTTCAGTGGGCCGTCAAGGCCATGCATGGCCCAAAACAGGAGCTCCCTGAAAACGAGGCTTATGTAGTCAAATATCCTTCATGGGAGCCCAAGGAAGCTAAGGCAGGACCCCTTGAATTGATCACTCTGCCTAACTCCCATCAACAGGAAAACATGGAAAACTATTCGGGAGAAGGCAAGGAAGTGAATTCAGAAGGTGTTGGTGCTGTGGCTGACAGAGGTGGACCTGCGTCAGGAGAAGAGAAAGACGTGGAAGGGAGTGGAGATGAGAGCAGCTTTTCTGCTGGCTTTGAAATGAATGTGCAAAATTTGTCCAGTATCGTTGTCAACTTAAGTCCTAAAACTGAATTTTCTCCCATCACGAGTGATTTTGTGTCCTTGGATGAGCGCACCACTCAGCCTCATTGGCAGTTGGTAGAGCAATCCACTATCTCACCTCAGGGCCTGCTGGAACCAGCGACAGCAGAAGAAGCCAAGGAGGAGGTTCTCTATGTCCACAAGCCTACTGACAATCTCTTCTCTGACTCTCCTGTGCAAACAACTAGTGAAAGCAGGAGAGAGGAGATGGTTACATCAACAGAAGCCTCAGCAGAGGTTCTGACCACTTCTGAGGTGACCACTGTAGAGATTTTGTCCGTAGGTCCACACAGGACAGATCTTACTACTGAAGCAATAATAACTGAAAATACTCCCGAGAGCTCTGCTATGGAGGAGCCATCAATCTCAATTTCATGGATTCTGGAAGAGAAAGAGGAGATTACAAGTGTACCTGATCTGGAAGAACGCTTCTCTGAAACTCTGACACCCACTGAAAGATCACAAGCTGGAGTTTCTCAGTGGACCACCATTGCATCAGTCTCAGGGGTTACAGAAATGGAATCAAGATCTGCAGTATCAGAGTCCTTTGTTGTAGGAAGTCATTGGACACCTTTCAAAGAGTTGACTTCGAAGGAACCAAAAGCCTCTGAGACAACAGAGAACAAAGACTCAAACAACCCTTTTGGTAGTCTTGTACCCAACTGGGCCTTTGGCCTCATCTCATCAGGTAGGTTACTTCTATCGTGTTAACAAAGAATGAGCAAAAGTGTCATTATTAACATTCTAATTATAAGTAATTATCTTATCAGCACTGGTTTATTGAATTATGTATGAAGCTCAGCAGCATGCTAACATCGTTAATGCTCTCGTTCTGAGATCACAATTTCTACTAACAGCCTTGAAATTTAAAACAGCCACTCCTCCATTTCCTTTTTGCCTGTCGCCTGTTGTTTCAATCTACAAATCCCTTACGCTCTCTGCTCTGACGGGAACAATGCATTCTTAATCTAGCTTGGGAATCGTTCTCTCTTTCCTTCATATTCTTTTTTCCTGACTCTCATGGAAGAAAGCTGCAGTGCAGTGAGGTGAAACCAAGAAGGTCTTTGGCAAGTAATTAGTGGGTCAGAGTGAGTACAATTAGATGAACTGGGGAGAGGCAGGGTTCCTAGTAGCCAGCAAATCAATGTTGACACAAACTACAAGACGGGACTCGTAATTGACTGTGGTCTTGTCTCCGCTCTCATTTTCGAGTTTGTCCCTGTTCACTCTGGCCATTTCCCTGCTGTTGTATACTGCTTTCTTCTCTCACACTCTGTGTACAAATTTGTTTTTCACAGTGATGAAAGTGTCTGTGACTTTTTTCACTCAACATGCTCTCATTGATTTATTGTGGTTGGTAACAGATCTGCTGGTAGAACAACAACCGGTAAATGAGCAAACAAGCTTTCTGTGGCCACTCACTTCATCCTACAATGTGCTTCTATACATGTTTATTGCTGATTTAAAAATAACAGAAATGCTGAATTATTACAATGAAGGGGACACACTGATGTGGCATGTAATTAGAAGTAGTGCTCAGTATCATGGGGGACGGGGGGGGGGGGGGGGGGGTGAGTCTAAATATCATATTCAGATAAAAATCAAAAGGGGGAGGAAAGAAGTTGATAATAATTCATTTTAAGAATAGCTCAAGCACTTAACTCCTGTGCCACCATCGCCCTTCGTTTTAATCATGCTCATCATTTTAATATCGGGAGGGGTTTTAGTAGAGCTGCTGAGCAGCTTTGTCACATAAGAGGTGGTTATATTCTAATTTCCTCTTTTGTGACATCACTAATGGGGAGTTTAAGAAATGGCATGTTTTAAGCACAACATTTCTAAAACTAAACATTGGCAGAAAATAGATACACAGAGGCGTTTTCCAAATTTGGAGTGTTTATAGAGTTACCGAAAATCCTCTAATACAGGCCCGGGCCTGTATTTGACTCAAGCTCATCAAGCTCCAGGCCTTTATTGGAAGGGGGGCCAGTATTAGAGGCAGGCCTCAATTTCTATTTGAGCAAAATTAACTAACTGGTTCGCTGGAGTTTTTGACAATTAAAATTGCGCCCACATTTTCTAAGTTAAACACATTTTTTTTAACAACAGTAGTTTCTGCTTCAGCCCTCTCCCCCCTCCCCCTGCGTAGCGGCTGCAAACTCACTGATGCGCCTGCAGCCTCTCAGAGTTTCTGCTGCTCTAAACATTAAAATAATTATTTCATTTTCTGTTCCTCACTTCTGATTACCTTCAATGGTGTCTGTTTGTTGCAACCACCAGGTACAAAAACTAACTTGTTTTTATTTGACTATTTTTCTGTCCTGTCTGTTTATTATCTTCCTTCATCTCCTCTCAATCCTAAAGAAAAACTGCTATCTGGGTTATTATATATTCACCTTATGAGTTACCTTTTAACTGCAGTTCTAAAAGATCTACCGACCGCAAAAACAGCGGAGTGCTCCCGGCCTCATCAGTGAGGTGCATCACTGAGGACAAAACAGGTGATGCGCCCCGCTCCACAGCAGCGAAACGCATCAGGCACAAATAAAAGAATAAAAGACAGAAAACATAAAAGGAAATGAGCCGACATGAACGATCGCGTGTTAAATTAGTTTTTGAGGCGGCAACACCTGATTTGGTAATGTTTCTGTGGCCGTGCTCAGGACGCAGATGTCTGGAGCGCGTCAACAATCAGAGCTTTGCATGTGCACGCTGGTTAAGGTTAGGATGGGGGTGAGGGGAAGGTTAAATTGCAAGAGGGTAAACGTCACAATTTGGTTAAATGTCCGTTTTACTGCGGGTGTCAGTACTGTCGCTCTGGCACAGCGTGTTGCCTCCCGACGCGCAGGAGCTTGTCACCTGCTGACAGCAGGCTGCTGTCTTTTCCGTGGACTGCATCTTGCCGGTCATTATCACGTGACAGCAACTAGTCGATGACAGGTGTAAAAAGTCACTATAGAGTGGTGAAGTCGACTAGTGACTAGTTCATACAACCCCTGCTACTGCTCCCCAGAGTGTTCTGCAGCATAATCTCTTTAAACTTGATATCAAATTTTCGCCTCCTCTTCGTCTCCGCACGGTTAAAGTTACCCTCGTGGTCTATCACCGGAAAATCAAAAGTGAGACGGATGACACAACCGCCCCCAGTACTTGCTTGTTACCACATTCCACCCAGCCACAATAAAAAAACGGCCATTATTCACCTCCGCCGACTCCGACACCGGCCAAAATATGATACCCGGCAGTTAATTAAATACAGGCAAATGTTAGAGGATTTACAGTATGTTAAAAAAAGTAAATAGTTAAAGTTACAAATGACTTTTTCCAATTAGTTACTATTAGCTACTCAGTTACCACATTGTAAAAGTAATTAGTTATGTAGCAAAATAACTTTTACATTACTTGTATGTTCTATAACACAGTTACTTATCTATATATCTATAACATAAAATATGTTTTTAATTGAATGATTCTTACAATTTAGAATGAACAATCAGAAATGTTCTGAAATGTTCATTCAGGAAGAATGTTATTATGGATATCTTGAATGATCATTACTAGGAACAACAGGTTGATCAGGCTAGTTTCCTTCTTTGTCCATCAGATTCTGTGACTGCATCAGTGTGGTATTTCATGTGATAAATGATTCAATTAATTCCAACAATTATTCAATAAGTGCTGATTGTAGGCTTGAGATCCTAATTTATTACATATTTCACATATCACTTTCTCACAGTTTTTTCCATATCTTTGTTTAGGATTTAAACTTTTTTCTACTTTATGTATTTGCATACTTTTTTATACATTTCCCTTTGTACATAATAATATCACATTTCTATAGAAACTGATGTTTGGCATCGTACCAGATACGTACGTCACATGACTGCATGTCCCATTTTTAGGGACACCCGCATTATTTTGTGCTGATTATGCCCTGAAGATGGTCACACGTGACCAAAACGCGTCAGCTCTTATAAGCTCAATAAATTAATTTCAGAGTGTCTCGGATCACCCTTTTTTTCCCTCCTCTGTGTTTGAAAAACCCTGATGGGTTTGGTGCTGTGTGTTTATTTTTGCCATTTGTAACACAAAGAATGGGGGTGCGAGTACGAAGCCGGCTCCGATCAGCTCTAACAGCAGTTTCGTTTGTGTCCCACACGTTAGTGTAGCTGTCAGAAAGTCTGACAGTGCTGCGCTTCATTCAACCACATTATAGTAACATGCCGCTTTACGTGCCCGCTAACTGTAACGGTGTTGTAACAGTGTTGTAACGGTGTTGTAACAGTGTTGTAACGGTGTTGTAACGGTGTTGTAACAGTGTTGTAACGGTGTTGTAACAGTGTTGTAACGGTGTTGTAACAGTGTTGTAACGGTGTTGTAACAGTGTTGTAACGGTGTTGTAACGGTGTTGTAACAGTGTTGTAACGGTGTTGTAACAGTGTTGTAACAGTGTTGTAACGGTGAGAAAGGTAATTAAAAGGATACTTTTCAACTATTTCAGCAGATTCCTTCAACACCATGGGCTGCACCTAGAAATCCTGTTCATAAAAGTTATGAACAGAATTGGTGATAAAGGGCAGCCTTGTGCTGTATTTTTTATTTTGGTTTTAAGAAATGTTCTCTAGGTCAGTTTATTTTGAAATGTATCACTTTCACAAGAGCAACATGAGATAACAGGATGAAACTCTGATTGCATCATACTCTTGCAGAAAGCGCCCCAACACTGTTTGCCCAAGGTAAAACTCTCTCTCTCTCTCTCTCTCTCTCTCTCTCTCTCTCTCTCACTCTCTCTCTCTCTCTTTCTTTCTCTCTCTCTCTCTCTCTCTTCTCTCTTTCTCTCTCCTCTCCTCCGTCTCGTCTCTATGATCGCTCGCTCTCTCTCTCTTCCTCTTCTCTCTCTCTCTCTCTCTCTCCTCTCTCTTCTCTCTCTCTCTCCTCTCTCTCTCTTCTCTCTCTCGTCTCTCTCCTCTCTTCGTCTCTCTCTCTCTCTCTCTCTCGCTCTCTCTCTCGTCTCTCTCTCTCTCTCTCTCTCCCTCTCTCTCTCTCGGACATGCACGTGCTCCTTGTTCTTTGCCCCTCCCACCTCTTTGCAGCCCCATTTTTCCCTCATCCTTTCTCTCCCCGTCATTGTTTCTGTTTCCCTACTTCCTCCCATCTCTGGTCACCTTTCCCTTTATAGTTACTTCTTTCATGAGTTTTAGCTCTCTGGCAGTTATCTTTAGTTATTCCCTGTTACCTTACATTTTTGTAGGTCATTGTACTAGCTTAACAGTTTTGCCTTACACTATTTCTGTTTTTCAATATCCCGTCGCCCCACTCACGGTGGTCACCTTTAACTTTTAGTTTTCTAGTTTTTAGTATTCCATGGTTTTTTGTCATTCTGCTATTCACAGTTTTGCTTGTTAAGCACTTTGTGATTCCTATCTGTGAAAGTGCTATATAAACTTCTTCTTCATTATCTTTGTCTTCTTTTCTCTGTTTTCGTTCATAATGACAGATGATGAACGTGCAAAACATTAAGACTGGTTAATTCACAAAATAATCTCAACTCAGTCTGCAATAGTCACCTTTGGTTATATTTGAGAATGACTAGTATGCATGTACTTTTGCTGTTGGTTGCATAATAAAATTAACGGACTACGTCAGGACAATAGGACATTTTTGTCTTTGCCATTTTGAAATGTAGCC